TAAATGAAATTTGAATAATAAATTTTTTTAGTTTAATAAATTAGTTGTAGCCTGTAAAGTAAAATTAGTTGAACCCTTATAAATTTAATTAATTAGGCTCTGGATCAAGCAATTACGTTTTTAAATAAATGTACTTCACCTGTGTTTTGCTAAGTAATATTAGAATATCATTTTAACAGACCCAATTATTCCATTAGACTCCAAATTTGTTTCTACGACTTTCCACCAAAAAAGAAAAGCTGAGCAAGAACCGCCGCAGGCTAATAAGCATTATTGCATTTAATTCTGATGCTTTCTGGCAAGGAATCGAGTTGGTCTCGCCGCCTCAGAAGCGCAGACCAAGTCGAATTCAATTACCATTCGTTGAGATTTCAATTTGAGTGTGGCTTCCTGCGATTCTCACTGTACCTGCTCGGAAAGAAGACCTGTCTGTCTTTTGGCAGCAGACCATCCACTCCACTCCACTCCACTCCCCCTCCTTCTCCCCCTTTCCCCAAACGAAATCTTCGGAGATACTGGTCTGCTTCTTAGACTGGTAATTCTAGTCGCCTTGGCAACTTCGCGCTGCTGGCGGATGTGCAAATATTTTGATTAAATTTTCTCCATGGCAACTTTCTTTCCACGAAGCGAAGCGAAGCTGCAACTGCAACTGCGGCAACCTCATCATCATCATCAGCAGTGGAAATGGCAGTGGCAGTGGCAGTGGCAATGGCAGTAGCATCCATCTCCCAGTTTTCTGGCTCTGGTGTTCTCAGCAGCCACTTTTGGGTCGCACTCAGTGTGAGTGTGAGTGTGTGTGTGTGTGTGCATTACCACAGTTTTCTTGAGTCTTGAGTTTTCCTCCGCCCCTGATTTTCAAACACGTTCTGCAGGGGAGCTCGACTTTCGGGTGGACATCACCATCCCCTCTAAATTATGACCCAAAGTTCGAGCTGAATTCTGACCTGCTCCGACACAACGACTTCATTTCAATGCACTCGAGAACCGAGAACTCATTAGAAGCTGAAAAGTTTTCATTTGCCGGAGAATGCAAATGAATATTAAACGAGGGGGAACGAGAGTTCCTTGTGGCCGTGTTTTAATAACTGTGGATTAAGTCTGCATAAATAATAATGATTATAAACTGTGTGAACCGCAGCCAGCGTGAAAATGCGCAGCCCGGAAAATTCCTTCCACCCACCCACGAAAAGTTTCTGCATAAGAAAATGACAAATGATCGCCGGGCAAAAGTATTCAAAAAGTAGCTGTGCAGCGCGGCAAAAAATGGAAGGCAACTTGAGACCGTGACAATAAACTTTTCTTCCCTGTTTTCCTGCGCTTCTCCGTTCGAAGAAAATGCGAAAAATTCTCGGACTTTGTTATGCGTAATTCGAGGTTTCTTCTACGCCGAACGATTCCCCCCGGGTTTTTCCGCAGGCGGGCCTTTAATTTGCAGTTAAGTGTTCGACGAATTATCTCGGCAATTATTTCTGAGAGCTCTGATTAATGCAGAGCATAGATAAGGCGAGCCGAACCAAAAGCAATTTGCGAGTAAACTATTCGCTTTCCACCTCCTTTCCTTTCCTTCCCCGCCTCGGCCACCTGCCCGTTGAATTTAATTGTATCTTATCATGGGAGCAGAGCAAGGGAGCCCCAACGAGACGCACAAATTGCTCGACTCGCTTATCAGTCAATTAGCCAGGCGATAAGACGCAACACGGAGCGAAAACCGGCGAGGGAGCAGGTAAGAATGGGTAAGGTGAAGACAAGAAGCCTCCGGGGAATACAAAGTAGAGAAGTCAGCCCGTCATTGTAACAATGGAAACACTTATCGGTTCTACTTCCTCCGCCCACTTTTCGTTTCTCTAGTTTCGCCTTATCGCGGGAATAACAAAAGTATCAACCTATTATCAAGCCGGAAATTGTATATTTTCGGAAACAACCAAAAATGCAATTCATCGGGCCAAAAAAGGAAGATAACCAAACAAGGCTCTATATTTGTAAATCTATGCATTTATGGAAAACAATGTTCAAAATGTTAAACTAGTTTGATTGCCTCTACAATCTCTAAACTCATAGTTATTAAATTAAACATATTATGAACCGATATCAAAACGAAAATGCAGATTAAGCCCGTCCCTGCTTCTAAATGCTTTGCCAGCTGCATTTTATACGAATATTTCAGCAGGGAAACACAAACATTGGCTAATAAAAATAACTGCAATTTCAGCGATGGAAGCCCTAAAACCAATTTGAATCCCAATGGGAAAATTGGAATAATGCCACCATTAAATACCCGTTTAGAATTGAACTGATTCCCCAAACAGCAGCCATAACCTATTATGATATCTATGGCCAAATAGCTGCATTTCAAAATCAAACAAACCATCCAAAGACCAAAACCCAAACCAAATATTCCGCATACGCCGCGTACACCGCAGCGAATCCAATTCCACAAGCAGAGAGGAGGGTTTTAATTAATACATAAATTTAAACGGGATATTTCCAGTTGTTGCCCGCGATCCAATAAAGAACCCATCAATTACAGCCTGTCGGGAATTTTATTATGAAGGCGGTTCGGTAATCGATAAGGAATTGCGAGTGGCTAAAACCGACGGCTACTTGCATCTGATAAATACCAAATTTAGAAGCGGAAAATTGACGAAAGGTGACGGCTGAATTCCGGCAATTAGTGTGTTGTTGGCGCGTATTTTTGGTCTCGTTCCGAAATAATAATTGAGATTGTCAACATTTGGCTTTGACATGCCCCTCCTCGCGCCGACCTGTCTGCCAACTTTAATCGCTCTATTTTGCCAGGGCAAACTGGCGGAGTTGTGTGGAGTGGGTGTGTGTGTGTTGCTGTTTTTACAGCTGAGTGAGGACATGACATGCTGGCAACGACCCCCCGAACCATCGCACTCCATCCCACCCAAAGTCTTTCCTTTTGTTTTCAATTTATAAGCGCATACAACGGAAATTGCCAACATGGCAGGGGGGGAAATCATAGGGGGTCGTGGGCTTGTGGACTGGATGGCTGGGTGGCACTTGAACCCAACGAGCCATAACAAAAGGCACACGAAGTAATTAACTTGTATTTATTGTATGCACACATAGTTGCCATGGTTAGTTTGCCGGGGCGAAAGACCAAAGCCCCGGGGAGTGGATGATGCTGCCCTCTAATTGATAAGCTCCGAGTTGGATTGGCCCTCGATCCAGGGTTTCCCCTTTACCCCCTTTACCCCTTTCCCCCCTTCTCCCCTAAGGGCTTCTCTTTTGGCCAGCATGTGCAGGCAATTACTTTCGGCCAGAAATGCAATCTTTGGCCGGCGGTCAGGGAGCCTTGATCACGGCCCAGCTAATGTTTATTAGTTTCCATCTTCTTTTCATTCAGATTTTTCTTTAAAGACTGCGCCCAACTCGAATTAGGATAGCCACTGGACTTACACTTCACATAATGTGGCTAAGAGTAAAACAATATTTTGTTTTCTTTGCATTAGTTTTATGACTAACTATCTTTTGTGTTATTAAAACATTTAGGAAAATTATTCAGTGCATTTGTGTAAAGTAGGTCCTTAAAATACATCACCTAATTTTTATGAACACAACTTCTTAATAAATAAGTATCTCTTGAGGTAAATCCTTTTTAAATAAAAAAAATGTGTCGAATGAATTACCTTTAAAATTTATTAAACGATGAAGGTCACTTAAGCCTTAATATGAAATAACTCTGGTGCATATTTCGCTTCTTGGCTTTGACAGGAGTGGTTGCGAAGTAATCCTGTCACTAATTCAATTGAAACCAATATCAAATGCAGCCTTAAGCATTTGCCATTCAAGTAAACCACTCCGCAGGCAGGGCACCACTCGCTAATTGGATTAGCATCGAAGGGTATTCAACTGCGGTTAGCTGGCGAGGAACCACAATTTCTTGTTTTCTGTCTCTGTTTCTGTTTCTGTTTTTGTTGCCGCTTCTGCCGCGACTTCTTCTCGGTGGATGCACTGCACCAACCTGACACGCAACTCCACTCTTTGTGGGGCATCCACTTGAGCTCCTCACTTTACCAAACTCCACTGCGCACTTTAAAATGAGTTTTTTGTATAAATTATTATACGTACATACAATAAGAATAATATGATAATGTACACAAAATTTAAAAAATTTATACAAACTGATATAAAAACTGATTCAGAAGCTTAAAATTGAATTAATTGTATTAGGAAAAGTACTTATAAGAATCAAAATTGTTTAATGGTTATACCTTAAAATACAAATACCACTAATAAAATGGTTGTACTTATAATTCTGTTTTTGTTAATTTTAAAAAAGAAATTATTACAACAAAAACGTTGTTGGGGACACCTGTTCCAATTTAATTTTAATAATTTTTAAGCTGTCCCATATTTTGACCAATTTAGTCGTGAAAACGCCCTAATTAATGCCCAATTCCGGTGCAATTTTCTCTGCATGTTGATCACGCCGGTCTGCGTTGGACATGGACTCCACTGGCTGGTAAGCTGGTGAGCTGGTGAGTCCACCTCTGTCCCGTTCTGATTCGTTGGCTCGGTGCTCGGGGCTCCGGGCTCAAGTGGCGTGTCCATGTCATTTACCTGGCAGCCACTCAAGTGGTAAGAGCAGAGGAACGCCAAGGGAAGGGGGCACAAAGTTCTGATGCGGTTTTTGCTGCAATTATATAATATTGACATTAGTTGCATGTTGGCTGTCGTTTTATGTTTGTGACGAGGCCGGGGATTGAGGGCTTGAAGCTTCAAGCTTCGAGCTTAATTGCAAACTGCAGCAGCAGCTTCAGAAACGCAAGATGAAGATAATGATGCGGCATCATCAGCAGAAATCCAAAATCAATATTATCGTTAATGACTCAATTACTTGATTTGCGTTTCGATTTAATGGCTTAATGTCATATAAATTAATTGCACTCACCGGCCTCTCTGTTCTTGGATTAAGTTCACTTCTGTAAAATTAAATCAAAGTCTCATGGTTATTTTACATCTTTCATTTGCAGGCACTTCCCAACGATCCTTCCGTTCTCGAAGCTCTTCGTACTCACATATCCAGGCACTTCAGACTGATTGACTGCACAGACTGCCAAAAACCATAGACGATATCTTCCAAGAGGAAAGCCATATCACAAGGAGAAAAAAAAGGAAAGACGATTGTAAAACGAGGAAAAAAACATATCCTGCTTCATAAATCATTGCCAGGCTTTGATTAATGTTGCGTATACGCAATGTTGTCGGCCCCCGAGTTGCTGGCCTCTAACTAAGTGAAAGCTCAAATCGCTCAAAACGAGAGGAAGCGAAAGCGAGAGAGAGAGAGAAAGGGAAACGATTCCATTAGCACCTTCTGGGTTTTAACAACATCATCATCAAGAGCCGCAGTCGAAGCCACAAATCCAGAGACCAAAGATGGCTTTCATCTGGCGACGACGCTCCACGACGATTGTCAAGCTGGTGGCCTTCCTGCTGGCCATTTGGTTCTGCATTGCCTTCCTGGTCTACACCGACGACACTCGCCGGAGAGCCTCCCAGGAGGGGGCGGGGGGCAGTGGCGTCGGCAGCGCCGTCGGAGGAGGGGGCGGAGCGGGGGGGACTCGGCGATCCCATTGCTCTTGCCCTGAGAAACGAGCCCATCGGCGAGGACTTTGGCGTCAATGGGAATGTTATCGGAGGAGGAGGCGGCGGAGGTGGAGGCGGTGGTCAGAAGCAGCCCGACGAGGCCGACATCCCACCCACTGTGGGCAAACACAAGGTCGACCATCAGGCCGAAAGGCAGCGGAAGAAGGCGGCCGACCAACCGAAGAAGAAGCCGCAAGACGGTGAGTCCGGGTGCCTTTAATTGCATTTTAACAACATTCATTGGTTTGTAGGGGTGGGCTAAAAGCCAGGAAGTTAATTAAGTCAAAGTAAGTTCAAATGCTTGAGGTAAAGGATTCTGCAGAAAAAACTTTTCTATTGCTTGAGACAGTTAGAAAAATATTGGAAACAATATGCCTTAAAAGATTTCCCTTTTCAATCCTTTGTGTAAGAAATTGTAGTTATTTTTTAATTGTTAGTAACAAGCTGAAAAGGAATCAGAAAAAATGTACAATTTTTTTGAAACACAAAGTTTTTAACAACTTATCATAAAGTTTATGTAAACTTTTTCCTTTCAACAAAAGCAGGGATTCTTAATTTTAAGAAAGTATTTTTTTCATCCAATTCATTTTCCACCTTGAGCCCTAAAGAAAAGTTTAACAAAAGCCAAAAGCCCCATTTCTCCAAAGAATTTCCAAGGGTTTTCTCTCGATTCTTCACATTCTTGGCCCATTAGTGCCCATTGCACTTTGCATATCGGAATCCTGTGTTCTGTGTTCAACAATAAGCATTTATATTGAAATCAGTTGCACATTTATTTCCGACTCAGATCCCAGCGATTTTCCCCGCTGGCCGACGAACTATTCAGCTCGCTTTTCCGCTCTTGTTATCGACGCCAGCGATTCTATTTTCCCCCTCTTTTTTGCATCCACGGGTTTGAGTTTTTTGCACTTCATTTCCACGCAATCGCTTGCAACTAATTCCCATCAATTCAATGCACACGCAGGCGGAATCTACCCCTCCCCCCTTTCCCTCCCCCTTTTGCCACTCGCTTTCCACACTCTGGGTTTCCCCTGCTCGTATTTTACGGTCACACATCCTCAATCCTTGTTGGGAGATTGCATTTTGGGTCACCAGCCCGATTCGATACAAGATGTTGAAAGAAGCGTACCAAACGGGGGATAATAACACATATTGCTTTCCTGTGTTCGATTTTCCTTTGCTCCTCTGCACTCCGCTTGAATTTGCCTCGCCTGCGAGGAAAACTTGCTGTTGCTGTCACACTTCCTCCTTTCGGCCACCGCCTTTGTGCCTTTAAGAAAATTTCTAACAAGTTTTACAACAATGTCGAAGATGCCGTCGGCGAGCGCTAACAACCCGAACAACTCGAACAACAACATGCAGCACTTAACAACTCGGAATGGCTGCCAAACAGCATTTTCAATGTCAGGGCGAGGGAATCCGAGGAGGGGGTTTCAAGAGGGAAGGGGAGCTCCAAGAGATAGATATTCGCATTAGGCTTTGGCGGGGAAAAAAAATAATGTTACTTACTAATCAAGTCGAGGCTTAAGAGCTGGCTGGCCCTGGGATTTTACTCAATGGACACTTGACTGGCCGCCCAGGCAAATCAATGAGGCCGGACCGAAGCCAACCAGCCATGAATTTCAGAAGGGAGGGAGCCGAAGGGGATAGAGGAGATTGAGGGGATCCACACGGGATCCGTGGCTTGTAGCTTCCTGTTCGTAGGCCCTCCTTCATCTATTGCCTCGCATGTGGAACAAGCATTTAAGATTGCATCAGCATGTGGTCGCTCCACTGGGTGGAAAGGGATCCAAGGGAAGAAGGAGGGGGGCTATGCAGCTGGGAGATCTAGTCTCCCTGGCAGACAATGCACGTATTTGCAATTTCGCATATCATGTTTGCATCTCTCGCTCCTCGCTGCTCCTTCATCATCGTCGTCCCCATTCCTGTCCCCATCCTCATCATCCTCGAGCCCGTCGTGGTGCAGCATCTACTCATCAGCGCCGAGGTGGCAAAGCTACAAGTTGGACCCGATCCTTGGCAGCAAGTCCAACGATCGGGGCATCGGCAGCTGCCCCATGGCGTCAAAATTGTGTGCAAGCCTACAAACGTTTACCAACACTCCCGGCTAAAGGGTCGCACAGGGCGAACTATTGGTTCCCAGGCACAGTGAAACCAATTTGCATGTACAGCGATTTCTTAAAATCAATCTTCTCTTAGTACTAACCTTTAATTTATTAGTTATTCAGGATTATTTAACTGGATTTCTTAAAACCTGTTAGCTAAAGACAAGTCCCACACAGACAATTTTTAGTCAATATTTGTTATCTTCTCAACTATCTCACGAATATGCAAATTTTAGTTCATATAAATGGTATATCATTTTTTAAGCATGTTTCCCTGATAATTTTTTAAGATTATAGAATAGTATTTTCTGTGATATCTTAAGTTTATTTTGTTGTTCGTGTACCTTGAAAATCTTGTTATCTAGGCCATCATTATAAAACAAATGGTTTTTCTGTGGAATCCAAAGGTTATCTGGATAGGTTACTCACCCAAGAAAACCGCCAGAATGCCATATAGGAATTTTGTAACGTATATTACGTATGCTAATTTATAAACGCCATTGAAAGCAACTTAAATATCATAAGCGACTGAACTGGTTTTATTACCCAACTGGTGAAATGGAATTGGAATGATGGATTTAGACCAAACTTGTTTAAGAGCTGATGTTTTGCATTTGATTCCAGACCCATCCCTCCTATCTCTCGCTAGCAACCCATTAACTTTGGTTTATGGGTCTGGGTGAAGAATGCCTTTGACTTCTTTCCAGAGATCCCAGAACACTTTAACAACTTTGCATGGGGAATAACTAACAATGGGGTTATGGTCTCGAAATAGATCATCCTTTAAGTCGGCCCCAATGGGGGGCTATTGTGACCACTGTGGCGTACTCCTCCATCTGGGATCTGGGTTCCTGGCTCTTCACGGGTTCCTTGCTGTTTCTCGGCCCTGTGTTCATAGCTGGTAATTAGTGTTGTTGTACTTATTGGCTTTGGCCTTGGGGCGCGTTACCACCACCGAAATGGCTGAAATGGGAAGAGCTTGCTGCGAGTGGCTGCAACACGACGTTTATCGCGCGCTCGCATCGGGCTCTTAAGGCAACTAGCCCCCGATCTTCCCCCGCCCCCTTATTCCATATCCCATAACCCATACCATATAATGCAGCAAGGGAACCTGCCTTCTGGCCATGTTATCTTGATCGCTGGCCCGTTTTCCCTGGCCACCTTTTACCTTCCGATCGTCTTGACTCATGTTTCTTTATGTTTTTTTTCAGCTTTTTTTTGCTTTGCTGCTCTTCATATATGCATAATTCTTGTTTTTACAATTTAGCAGCGATAATGATTTTATATATACACGGCAATAGGGGTACGCCCCCTTTGGGCCAGATTGATTTGGCCGGTTTGTGCGTCTCGCCCGTTGCTTTTAATCAATGCTAATCCCATGGCTTGATTTGTTTCATGTTCCTCGCATGTCTATCGCTATTTATGGCCCACACACACACACATACACAATACACACTCACAAACTCACACTCTAACTTAATATATATCTAGTGTAGATGGATCCCCTTCGGAAAATCCCCTCAGCATTAAGCGAAATAACGGCACTTTGGCATATTATGTTACTTTTATGCGGAAAACATGATGATGAAACACAGGCACGCAGGCAAAACAACCGATATGTCAGATGCCTTCCCTTCCATCGCACATACACACATCCTACACACACACACAGTGGCAGGAGCATTTGTCATGTGGCCACGCCCCCTCTTCCGCCCCAGCATATAACCTCCACCCATCCGCCCCCTTTTCCACCTGCTGTCGCTGTCTATAACAAAACATTTATAGCTTCCTGTCACGCTCAGGCGTGTCCCTCGAGTTCTGTTCGCTGCGATTGTCTCCTTTTGTGTTTCCGCTCAAATTCCCCACCCCCGCCCAATCACCCTCCCCCTCTTGAGCCCCCAATCCCCACCCCTGCAATCGAACCCCCCTTTCGGCACATGGAAATATAACGCATACGCCATGCTGAGCATGGAATTCGACACAAAAACCTTGTCAACTTCGATTTGCCGAATGCACAAAGTTGAAGGTGAATCGATACACAAGTTGAGAAGAAAAAGTTGACAAATGATTGATTAATTATCACTTACCTTGATTGAGATAAGCGAGTACATAAAACTATTGGAAAAGTTGACTACAAATTGTCCATTTGTTTACGAATATTCATTTAATTTGCACTGTTTAAAAATGTTATCATTTTAATCCACATAATAGATTGTCGAATTCGATTTATTAAAAGCGAAAAGTTAAACTGCAAAATCTGAAAGATAAATATAAATATTATTTTCTTGATGAATAGCCGTTGGCACTAAGTGAATTTTTGCACTTTATGTTTGCATAAAGCTGAAATCCGTTTAGCTTTTAGTTTGGCTTTAAAAGAACTTTAAGAGCTTGAAAGCCACAACAAGAAGAGATATTGATTTATGCTGACGTCTGTAACAAAAAAGCAGTATTTAATTCGAAAGTGTGTAAATTGTCAACTCTGATTTATTAAATGCGAAACATAAAGTTAAGAGGGAAAAAATGGAGAAAATGTCAGAAAATCCTTTGATTAATTATGATTCTATGATATAAATACCCATTTGGGAACTGCAAAAGCGTCTACCCATATCAGATATAGCCGGAGATTTATAGCGACAACAAGGAATGAAGGCTGCACATAATATACAACTTTGTAGGACTCACCTTTGTCGAAAAGGCGTGACCATAATTGGGTTACTTCGGCTGGAAAGGGCCAAAAGTTGCGGGAAAAGAGATGGCTAGCGACTCCAGCAGAGTTGGGCGGAATCATTAATATCGAAAGAGGCCATAAATATGCTACAGTGAATCAATAAAAGACATTAAATCCAGTTACAGTCCCTCCTCCGCGCCCTTCGGTTATATTTTTTATTGTTTTTTATTATGATGATGCGTGTGCGAGCCCAGCATGCAAAAAAGTTCATTACAAAAGGGTGTGGGTTAGGATTTGGGGAATGAGAATGGGTAGTGGGGCCAAAAAAGGAGCCTCGGCATTAGGGATGCAAGCTCGAGTCCTTGGCGCACGCGTGAATATTCCGCAATGAAGTTGTAACTACGGCAACCGGCGACAAATCATAAAATTTATGAGTTGGGGAACCCCCTCCTTCATATCCCCCCTTATGCTCTTTTAAGCCAGCCGCCTCTGGGCAGTTTAATGGTTTTTCTCTTGTTTTCCATTTTGGTGCGAGCGAATTTATTGTCGGCTGATTGGCCTCTTGGTTAGGCCCCTCCGTAGCATAATGCGGTTGGATCCCCGATTCCGACGCCGACTCCTTGGATCCCCGACTCCTGCGCATTCCCACTCGGACTCATCCCACCGGCTTGCCAGCCTTTTATGGCTTTTTATTTTGCTAGCTAGCTTTTTTATGCTTATTGAAATTGAAATGATTGTGGTAATTGAAATGTTTTTGCATGGCTGAAAGCCGGCCACTGGGAGTGGCCAGAATATGTCCACTGGTTCAGCAATATGCTTCTCAATTCATAAGGCGACTGATTCGGGCAGATGATTTTAGCCAGAAGAAACCAGTTGATACGGCCTTTTAGGGGCCAAGAACTCTGTTTTGTTTTTATGGACATTTAATTGAACCGGTTCAGCCGAAGATTTGTATATTAAGATCTTGTAGAGAAACTTAATATCGACTTTAAAATGTTTCCAATAAAGACTTTAAAAGGTTTTTAAGGTTTTAACACAAATTACTCCTTTGTGTGTATGGTAAATTTAAAAGCAAGTATGGTTTGTTTATGACTTGTTAATAAACCCTTTGACCATACAAATTTGTTTGCTTTTTATAAAAAAAAATTTCACTTTATCTATCCAATAATATATTTAATTTGTGCATATCCCTAGATTAAGTTTTTAGTCCATTCCAATATCCGATAATTCAACTGCTATTCAGCTCTTAAGGGGGCTTCTCATGTAAAATTTTAAAAAAATCAAAATTTTTTTTTTTCATAAATCGATAGAATAACGTCTTGAGAGTATATTCCCGAAGTTTTATAACTCAACTCTCAATATTATGGAAAATATCAGTGATTGAACGAGCGCGCTCAAGTTCAAGACCCACACTAACTCAAAACTTTAAATCGTTTTTTCTCAAAACGATGTTTTAAAAAACGCGGTACACGATTACGGAAAAACTACTGAACCGATTTTTGATATCTAAAAAATGTTTTGCAGATTATATATTGAACGAGTGCGTGAATATCTGAAATTGTGAAAAAAAAAAGTTATTTTATACACTTCAATTCACACCCAATTCAGCAAAAAAAAAGACGAAAAAATGACACTTTTTTTTTCAAGACGTGATTTCAATATTTTAAAATCGAATTTTTTGAAGTGGCTGACATTCACGCACTCGTTTGAACCTTGCTGCATACAACAAAATTTTTTTGTTTTTTTCAGATGAAAACTTTTTGCTCCACACTGTACCGCAATAAGTCCCTCAGCCGCGTCGAGCTACACGCGACCTTCAATAAGTCCGCCATTTTGTTTTTTAGAATTTTCAAAAAATGTATTCTCATACTTTAAACATGTCTTCAAATATGTGCAAAAAATTATTTGTGTAAGTTTTCATTTTCCAAGAGAAAAAAATTCCCAAAAAACCACTGCTTTTTGGCATGTTACATGAGAAGCCCCCCTTAAATCATTTTATTTTAAGTAATTTTCCATGTCACTTTAATCCATCTAAAAGCTTTTTCAATTTCGTGTGAAGAAAATGCGTTTAATTAAATTTGTAATGCCCCTAAGCAGCAACTCAGGATGTGTCTGAGTAAGTCTGCTCAGAAATTTCCATTAACGGTGTCCCGATTTCCGAAGGACAACGAACACGCACAGGACACAGACAGGCATTCAGGCGATGCCCAATAAGTGTCACTTGTGGCTGACAAATCGCATAAAAAGCAGGAACGGAATCGGGACCCCAGGAAAGGGGAGCACGGGAAAAATGTGGGGGAAAGGCTGGCGTGGAGGTAGCAGCTGGGAGCAGAGAATTCATATTTCCATGCAAATGCAAATAGCAAAATAATAAAATGCACAGCAAGAGGAAAAACACTGATAGCATGGGACACGTATGAGGCGGCGGAAAATGGGCTGGGGAAAAATAGGAGGAGGGTGTTTTTCCACCACCCACACAAGTGAGGAAATTTGCAAGGCAAACGATTTTTCATGACCCGGCGAAGCAGCATTCTCCTCCGATGATGGCAACTTTTCATGTGCAATGCACCAAGAACTAAGTGTTTGCCTTGTATTTTGTCGTAAATTTCACGCATAACAAAGCTTTATCTTCATGCAGCTCGGTGCTCAGTTTACCTTTGACTCACAATTTGGTTGAAAATACAAAATAATGGTGACCTTTTCTAACCATTTTTCTTTCCTTCTTCTTGCAGACACCAAAAAAGTGATTGATCCGCCGGGAAATCTGGAGGAAAATCCTGGCGAGCTGGGCAAACCTGTCAAGTTGCCCAAGGAAATGTCGGAGGAAATGAAGAAGGCCGTCGACGATGGATGGACCAAGAACGCCTTTAACCAGTATGTCTCCGATCTGATATCCGTGCACAGGACTCTTCCCGATCCTCGGGATGCCTGGTGCAAGGACGAGGCGAAATATCTGACCAAGCTGCCTAAAACCGATGTCATTATCTGCTTCCACAACGAAGCTTGGACTGTTCTGCTGAGAACGGTTCACTCCGTTTTGGACAGATCGCCGGAACACCTTATTGGCAAGATTATTTTGGTGGATGACTACAGTGACATGCGTGAGTTTCCAACGAGTTTTCAACTTATGTAACCTATTTATAACCGCTGTAATTTCCGCTTTTCAGCTCACTTGAAGAGACAGCTGGAGGATTACTTTTGCCGCCTATCCCAAGGTTCAGATTGTCAGAGGCCAAAAGCGAGAGGGTCTGATTAGGGCCAGAATTTTGGGTGCCAACCATGCCAAGTCCCCCGTTCTCACCTATTTGGATTCCCATTGCGAATGCACCGAAGGTGAGTGCGAAAGAAATTAATTCAATATTCAGCCCAAAAGTATATTGTACTTTTTTCCTGGCAATTTTTCTGCTTCTCTTTTGGCATTTCCATTTCAATTCGCAAAACTGTCAATATGCTAATTGCCCAAATTAAGCTCTTAATTGACTAACCAACTTGCGTTAGTCAATTTTTGGTCCATAAAGAATTCAGGCGAAATAAATATTTGAAATGTATGCCAACGGAATCAAAGTGAAACAATCAAACGGCAAAATTTTAATGCTGCCATACAATGGTTTTACATTCTTTTTGTTAATCGAGATTTGCCCATTTCCCAATGGACTCTTGTCGTATCTCGTTTATTGTCGAGTGTAATGTTCTTTGTGTAACTCAATTTTGATGGCCATCAAACAAAATCCGTTGGGCCGAAAACGTTGCCAATAAAACAAGAGTCCGGCTCTAGAAAAATCACTTAATCTTCGGCATTAGGCCAATTTCGTTTCCGTCTTTGCCTTTTATTTTCTCCTTTTATTAGCCAAAGAGTGATAAGCAAGCCTACGAAAAAGACAATCAATTTGGTTTATTGGAAAACTTCACAAATGATTGCTCAAATGTAAACAATATCACCACAAAGGCAGAACGTTTTTCCTGTATTTGATGGATTTCCTGAAAACCAATTAAGCAAGACTGAAAATTGTTGGAATATGTTAAAGTTAAATCTTTTTGCAGGCTGGCTGGAACCACTTTTGGATCGAATTGCCCGTAATGCCACCACTGTCGTATGTCCGGTTATCGATGTGATTAGTGATGAAACTCTGGAGTATCACTATCGGGATTCCACAGGAGTGAATGTGGGAGGATTCGACTGGAACCTCCAGTTCAGCTGGCATCCAGTTCCTGAACGCGAAAGGAAGCGCCACAATGTAAGTGATTTCAAAAACATCAAGACAGAAACAAAAACCAATTCAATTAAAATTTTACAAGTTCTACAACTCGGCAGCGAAAGAATCTTTAGAAATAGCTTACCTAATTAGGATAATTAAAAAGGGTTCTTTGTCTTTTAAAGTTTATGGGACTTTCCTTTTACCGAGCTTTTTGAAATATATATATATATATTTTTTTTTTACGTATACATATTTTTTTACCAAAATAGCAACATTGACTTCAGTTTCTTATATCTTTTTTTTTTCGGTGTGTGAAAAAGGGATTATAACCTTCGTGAAAAGTGGGATTTTTGTGCGGTTGACTTAAACATGCATGGCTATTTATACCGCTGTGTTTGGTATTAGTTGTGTTTGTTTTACGCCACGGTTACCAGGGCCATATCCCATACCCTTCTCAAACTGCGGTTTCTAACCCCATTTGGGGAGTTCTCCCCTCGGAATGCTAAAAACATGAAGCCGCTTAAAGCGCCCGAACGTGACTACAGAAACTGAGTGTTGTGCCGTGAAAAGGGAATGCGGCTGTCAATGGAAACTCACATCCAAACACGAGGAAAGCAGTGAAACGGAGACAAACACCCATTCTCACGTACAGGCCACAAAAGTGTCGTTTGCAATATGAGCTATTAGAAGTAAGAGTCGTTTCCCTCGCGCAGATGAGCTTGCAAATTTATGCTCAAGTTTGCCAGGAGTTAAAGCCAGAGTTATGGCCTTGGTTAGTTGTTTGAGGGGATAGTGTGGCATGGCTATAAAGAACCTCAGAATTCTTGAAGAGCCATGAAAGTCATGGCCATAAAAAGGCGGTTTTACATTAGGAAGAGCTATAACTTTTCTGAACTGTCTTGAAAAAGGATAATGGAAGTTTAAGAGTACATTAGCGGCTTGAATGCTGTAAAATAAACAGAAATAAATTGCTTTTAAATGAAGAAGAACTCGACTTCTTGCTTCGAATTTTTTCCAGTGCCGTGTTCATTTACCTATAGTTTCAATTCGTTTCACATTCTCCAAAGCTGTTGACCTATCCCTTTGAGCACCAGATATCGTTTTGTTATTCCATGACCGCCTGCACTCACCACGTACAAACTTTCCCAATACACTGACAAGCAATTAGATACTCCTGTGCACCCACACACCCACACGTAGCAATTGGAGGGGCTTGTAAAGGGGCGTTGCAGCTTCGCAAATGGACATTCGAAACCGTCGATGGGGCTTCACATCCGCCGACAGCTGATGCCGCCTGTGTGAATGGGAAAAGTCCACCTTGGCTGGGGCCATTTTCCACTTTTGCACCTGGCAAACCTTCTGGCGCAAATGCAATCGTGGACTGCTGGCAGCCATCCGTTGCTTTTACTTGTTATTTGCTTAACGCTTTAATTAAAAGTTCATAATTACAGTGTTCTCCCTTTGATTCCTGTGTGCGAAGTGCCTTAATGTCTGGCACATGAAGGCGATATATATTACGCATACGCCGCCTGTGGCAGGGCCACAAATTGCAAAATTGCAAGTGGCTGGAGGAGAAGGAGCGGAAAGGCAGAAAAGCGGGCCGTGACACTGCAATTAAAAGCCAAAAATGTTAACAGCAAATTCCCGTCGTCTGTTGTAACTGCCGCCTTTGCCGCTTCTGTTGCATCGTCCTTTTGCGGCGTAAATATCTGGCATAATTGTTTTTACAAGCGCCGAGGGGATTTATGGCAGGATTGTAGCCGAAAAATCCTTGCTGAGGCCGGAATTGTTGCTGCTTCCTGGCAACTTGCGGCGTGGCGAATGCCGACTGCCGTCTCCATCCCTGCCTCAAGTTGCACTTAGCAGCTAAATCAAGTAAAGCATTTCCCGTCTGCAACAACATTGGCAATTTGCCGACTGACTTGCGGAAGGCAACTGCTGTTTCAACGCATAAATGTTGTTGTTCGGCATGTGTGTTTGTATTTGTATGCCTGTGTGTGTGTGTGTATTGGCTTTGTGGGGAGCAAAGATAATGGCCGACGCGGAGAATTTTCCATTTTCCCTCTGCAGACGACAGCGAGAAGTTCTGCAGGAAAATTTAAAAGGGTGCGATGGGTAGACTGGTAGATTGGTAGATGTTGTAGACATCCTCTCAAGCGATTGCTAATTTCTAATATCTGTTTGAGTTATGCCACGCCAGGTGGCCCAAACAAAAGCTCAATGGTTGGGGATTGGGGGGATTGGGGATACATACTCATCCCCTTTCAAGGGATTTTCAGCTGCCGGGCACAGCTGTTGACAGTCCCAAAGCTGCCTGAACGAAAATCCTCACAGCAACTTCTGATGTCTGTCCAAAGTTGCTTAACTTGTTACGAGTTGGCAGCAAGAGCAACAGCAAGAGCAACAGCAACAGTAAGAGCAAAAGCAAAAGCAAAAGCAACAGCAAGAATAATAACACTGCGATGGGGAATCAAAAATACATATTCGTTATGGCCAATGCCATTTCCCCTGCACTCAAAGTTGCTACTTCAGCTTTTGTTTGTATTTCCTTGGCGAATCCTCCTGCTGCTCCAAGGTAAAAGTTGAACTGCTCTCAGCTGCCGGTGTATATGCTTTTATTTTCCCAGAGTGAAATCCCCAAATTGAAACTGTAAAAGAGCCGAGAATACGGCTAATGGCTTTCCGTTCCTCCGTCATATCAATCAAATCCAATTTTGATAAGAAAAATTGGCCAAATCTTAAGTAGTTAATCATTGCAAAGAGTTTTGCTTAAGTTGAAAATTGTATAAGCCTCTCTCACAACGGAAAAGAAAACTTTTTCTTCACTCTAAGGAAACTATTTCATTGCTACATTAAGAAAAAGAATACTCAGGTGAATCCCAGTTTTCACATCAAATGTTTTTTCCATTTGTTTCCCTATTTGCCCGAGAAAAGCAATGTACGAATTTAAATATTTAAGAAACCACAGCAAATAACATGAAAACTAATTCGCTTCGTTGGCACAACACCGCAGGCTGCTAAATATATATATCCGTATATATGTTTTCTGTGTGGCAAAGCAGTGAAAACTAATCCCCGCAACGAGGAAAAAATCTCGAATGAAACTACGGGCGCAAACAAATTCGCAGGGAGTGGAAATTCCGAAGGGGGCAAGGGGGGTAGTTGGGTAGTTGGCTGCTGTGTGTAGGGCGTTGAAACACTAATCCAATTATTTGAGTATAAAGAGGAGCGGAAGCGGCTACAGTAAAAACTTATTCGATAGCGTCGCTCGGGCGTATGCGCAATATGCGTGCTTCGGCAGCCAAAAGCAGACGCACACACACACAGCACTCATACGCAGTGTTGGCCCGGCCGTTTAACTATACATAGAGAGGCCAAATATACATAAAGAAGAGTGTGCCTGAAGTGCCAAATCCTCGCAGGAGCCTCCGCTCTCCATTCCTCCCATAAACGGAATATCCTTGTCTGCGAGCCGAAATACAGGAGACCTCCTCTAACTTGAACGTGAGTGAAATTTTCTCTAAGCGTTATGCCGTTTTATCCCGCAAAATAATCTTTAAGCTTTTAGGTTGTACCATATTTAAGCAGAAAATGTTGCCTGAATGGCTGTTTGACTTTGCGAGTCGCGTTAAAGCCAAAACCGTTGTAGCCACATAAGTTTTTATTTGCAATTCGCGTTAGGGAAGCTCTTCCGTAAATAGAAAATTGTAGGCAAAGTTTACCTTTGAAAATTGTTTAGGCTGTCGTCGTGGCCCGTCGGTTCCAATTCCAGCCTGCCACATCTACTCGTATGCATGGGTAATGGGGCCCGTGTGGAAAGGTAAACGCTTTCTAATACCCCAGGAAAATGGTGGAGTGGCCGGGGATGAAGGACCAAAGACAGAGCTGCTCGTCCATTGCACGATTCATTTCATTTCTGTTTTCCTTTTTTTTTCCGTTTGGATTGTTGTTCCCCCCTCGAGAGCCTTTTTATGCCTTTGTCTGCCAGTTGCTGTAGCTGTGAAATCGTGCATAACACAGAGCTACAGCTCAGGAGTTTGAGTGTGTAATACGCTGCGTATGCGAAATTTTCGACGTTTTCGCTCCAATGACAAATGGTGAGCACTCAATTCCGGGCTTTCGTTGCCGGCTTTTCGGTGCCAGCCACTCTGGTTGCTTTAATGATGGAGTTGATTACGTATTTTCTGTCAATGTCAATTGGATTTCGTCTATTCAACAGAGCATAAAGAACCTGGGGGCGCAGAAGTCGCAACGAAAGCCTAAATATTCCCCAGGGTCCGCGATTGCTTTATTTATGAACAGGGAGCGGGGAAATTAATGTCGAGCATATATACTCGTATATATAAATCGAAATGTATGGGAGCTTCAATAAAAAAGTACAATAAGCGTATTTCACGGAAAATGTACTGAAATTTATTGGAGCTCTTAAGCGAGTAAGTTGAACAAATGTGGAAAACGTTGTTTTGTCGGATACAAATGTACTTCGATGGCAGCATTTGTTTGTTGGGTATTGAAATATTTTATGGAGTAATACTCCTTGAAAATCCTTAGTTATTTTTTATACAACACCAACTACTTTAAAATAACCCCAGAATTAATTGGAAGAAACTATTTGAATTATGTTCTAGTTTTCTTTATGACATTACGAATATAAATGGTACAAATCTGTCTTAATAGGCATTTCATTCACTTGGTCAATTACACTTAAGTCAAAAGGGTTACCATTTTAGTTGGTCAGGCGGTACTTGACTGCTCGGAGGATGGGGTACTTCTCGTTGGTGCAGAGTCCTCGGAAGTCATCGTAGGACAGGTCAAATAGAGCAACTCCACCCAGATTCTCGGTGCGCACATAGCCAGCCTTCTCGGCGGCGGTGTCGGGATCCTCGAAGCTCACCCAGATGCCATTTTCCCCCTTCTTATCGGCTGCCCTATAGGCATACGATCCGAAACGCTTGGCGGGATCCTGAACCTTGGTCAGTGGGGCATTGGCTCCCTTCGAATAGGCGTTGTTTTGGTTCGGGAGGAGGGCACAAACCTCCGGCCAGCTGTAGATGCCGGGCACCTGGGTGTTGCCACCCACGGGAGCCTCATCCTTGACGTCCTTGACGGGAGGAAGTCCTGTCTCGCCGGAGTCGTCGGTCAACTTCCAGGGACGACCGTAAGTGGCCACGCCCACATTGATCTTGCTGCCGGGGCAGCTGTTTCTCAACCAGTACTTCACTTGAGCAGCCACATTAAACTCGGGATTGCGATCGCTCAGCTCGTAAATGGGAGCGGTATAATCAGCTACTTCGGGATTGCGCTGAGGGGTATAGAAATCAAAGGCTCCGAGGTTCACAAAGTCCAGGTAGTTGACCACGGCGGGGATATCGTAGAACACTAAGGATTACTTTATGAGTTAATAAAATTCCATAGGAATATATTTATATACTCACAGGAAGAGTTCACATTAGGAAGCACGGTGGTGGAGAGCAGCAGGTTGTCCGGTCGGAAGGCGTTCTTGATGTCACGGAGAAGGGCGGTGAACTGCTCCTTGTGCTCCTCGGACTTTTCGTCCACAATCGAGTCGCCGGAGAAGACCTTCTTGAAGCCCTTCCACAGACTGCCAATGCCGCTGTGCACCTTCTTCGGCTTGTTCTTGGGGAACTGCCAGGCCACATCTAATCCATCAAATCCGTAGGTCTTCACCAGCGAGTAGACGGTGTTCACGAAGCGAGTGCGACCTGTGGCGCTCTCCAGCAGCTCCAAGTACTTGTTCGGCTTCTCCTTGGCGTCCTTGTCCAGTTCGATGTCCTTGTCGCCACCCACGCTCAGCAGAATCTTCACGTTGGGGTACTTGCGCTTCAATCGGGTCACCGTGCGGTACAGACCCTTGCCCAAGTCGAGGTCCAACTGCTGGTTCAGGCTCACCGCCTTGTTGGAGTCGCGCTCTATTCCGGCGTAGCCGTAGATCAAATAGTCGCAGAACTGCAGCGCCGGCTCCAGTTCATCGATCACCAGCTTGCCCAGACCTAGATTAAAGAGGGGGTTATTCGATTAGGCGGAAGGTTATACGCACTGGGAAATCACCGGATTTTGTCTAATAGTACAAACATATTTTCTGTTCAAAATTTGCAGTTTGGAATAGGATTGATTCAGGAGTGCTTGAAGTTATTTCTTATAAAGGGTAAATTTTGAAATTATATATTTTTTTATTTTATATCAAATGTGGTTGAAAAACCAATTTAATTCATTCTTTAATGATTAAATTTAATAAAGTGATGTGTACGAAATATTATATGACTCTCTTGGGTGTTTTGATGACACTAAAAAATTACTGAATTAAGTTAAAAACCTAAACTAATTTAAAAGTATTTTGGTTGAAAAACAGTATTTTGCAAATACGTTAATAAATATTCATATATTTACATTGTACATATTCGAATGTACTTTTCAATATTTTTATTTTATGGTCCCCAAATTATGAAATGATTTATTTGTACTTTTTGCACTACGTTATCGCATCGACATCCGACTTGAATGGCAAATAAACTAGACAAACCGAGTTTCAAGCATTTGTTGATAAGCTTGGTTGCTTGTTTTCGATTTCGTTTTCATCTTTTCTAATTAGCAACTTCCAGGGAAGGTTACATAACGTTTAAAAGTGCCAAAACCCATTTAAAATATATTTAGTTTTTTGTACTAACCTTCCTTGACGAAGCTCTCGGAGTCGTAGTAACAAACCAGGTGCTTTTTGGGCAACTGGGATTGCGGGGGTCCCACTTTGGAGGCCTGAATGCTGGCCAGGCAGAGCGATACGATCGCCAGGGCTTTAAAGATCATCTTGAGTCGCGGATTTTACTCGATTCCGTTGAGTTGTGTGCCGCTCGAGTGCTGACTTGAAACTGAAACTTGGGCTCGACTTCGCATCCCAGCTTGTCGAAGGTTGAGACGTGGTCGTCATTGTTGTTCTTATTTTGCTTGTTTTGTGGGCTGAGAGCAAAGTGTGAGCTGATAAACAAAGTTAAGCTCGGCGCGATCATTAGAAATAAATACAGTGGAGACTTGATGGGGTGAAGGAGGGTTAGGAATTATTTATAAAGTTTAAATTACTTTAAAGGAAAGTAGGGCTAATGAAAATGTTCGACCTTTCAGTACATTTTGTTGTTTTAATTTGGATACGTATTTCTTATTGTTTGTTTCGCTTCAATAAACATTTGTGTTAGTTATTAACACTAAATAAATTTTATATATACATTAAAGCTCTAGTTTATTTAAAATACCTTTTTATTTTGAATCACCATTAATGGCATTTTTATCAACCCTAACTGGTTTGAACTACTTCGTAAATCCACAAGTAATCGTAAATACTCGTATATGTGTTAACTTTCAAGCTTGTTCCTACTGTATTAATTCCAGCGAATTTGTGTGGGCCGCACACAAGTATATTTAAATTTTTACGACTTGGATGTCGACAAATTTTAATTTTTGCTGCTTTTTTCCCTCGGTCACTTATCTTTGGTTTGTTTTCCCTTCTTGTTTGCTGGCGTTCATGAATTTTTTGTTCCTCGCCCTTGCGATGTTTGAGCTTTTTGGTTACTGCTGCTGCGCTGTTATCAATTCCCGACCCGATTTGGTTTTTTTTTTCTGAACCCTAAGCCCGAGTTTCTTGTTCCCATTCTTTCCTTTGTTTCTTTCTGGTCCTTTCTTGTTGATTTTGGCATAATTCTTGTGTTTGCTTGCCCTAATCGCTGTTCAATCCACTTGCCTCCTTTTGTTCGCAGTCTCTTTCGGTCACACATGCTGATTTTCTAAACCTACAGAGAGAAAAAAGTTACCACCAGTTATCAAATTATAAATAGAAGTGTTGCAAGAGCTTTTGAGCGATTAAACACACTTTTAAATTCAATGCACACTTATCTGGTTTCCCTGATTGTTCTCTAAAAAAGTAATGTGAGCAGAATATCATTCGATAAATAAATGCAAATTAGAATATGAATCCAAACAAAATATAAATTTTATTTCTGTGTAAGAATGGGCTCTTCATGGCCTTTATTCATGTTTTAAGAGTGGGTGTGTGAGCAAGTCTATGCTCCATCAATTTCATTTATTTTGTCTGAGTTGCCCTTCTTGCTTTTTCTTGCATTTCCACTCTGTTTTCCATCTGTCTATATCTTAGTTGAGGACTGCTTCAAGGAATTCATGGGCTTGTTGTTACACCGAAGGTAAATGGAATTGGCACCCCATTCCCCCACAAGATTTCAATATGAAGAGAACTCTCTTTTGTCTGGCATCGCCTGCCACTCAATTATTTTCTGTGCAATTTCAATTTTTTACATTACCAATTAACAGTCTTGCTTTCATCTTTTTTTCCGGGCTGTTGTGGGTGTTAATTCACAGAAAGTGAAAAAAAAATCGGGGTTAAGCTTTGGCGTCGAAAAACCAATCACATGCACGAGCGGTTTTGGCCGAATAAAATGGGTAAAAATCCCAGGCGTGGCGAAAAAGGTTTCTTTTTAGGTCGCAGGGATTTTTGTATATTTTTTTTTGCGCTAATTTTGACCAAGCTCCTACTTTTTCGCTTAAAGCATTTTGGTTAATTAATTTTCGCCATGCGCTTTTTGCTCAGTCAGCACCAGCGGAATATTACTTACACATTTTCCTTGTAGTCCGCATAATTACGTGCACGTTTAACTTTTAATTGAAATGTTGTAACAAGAGTTGATGGCCGAGATAGGAGGTGGGAAAAAGGGAAAATATGGGAAAATATGGGAGAACGTGGCCTCGAAGGGAGCAACTAGGACCATTTCCTGCGGGCTTGTCATGGCAATTCATAAAACTCCTTCTCGCTGGTTCGTTCCTACCATCCTCCCTTTACCCCCCTCCAACCCCTCTCTCTATCCATGTCTGTATTTCAGTTTATTATATCGAGCTAAAAGCTGGCGTTCTTTAATTAAAAGCGTAGCCAACAGACACACTCACACACACGTTTGCATTTGATATTTATGAGCGGCCCCGAAGGCTGCTACATTTTAGTGGACTGGAGCGAAAGCGTTTGGGAGAAGAGCCGCAGTCTGTTGCCTGCTCTTCGGCTGGCATTAATAATATTCCAAAATTATAACGAAAATAACCAGCAATTGGAGCCAGCTTTAACGAGTCGGAGGTTGGTAAATATGGTGTAGAAAGATTGCTACTACAGTAAAGCTTCACTTACTTGAACAATAACACATTTATAATTGATATAGTTGAATATATGAAAAATATGGTTTCTGCAACATAAATAAATATAAATATTAAAGATTATTTTATATCGAAGGGTTTTAAATGAGACGATATAAAATAATCATAGGTAAATAATATATGTAGGGTGAATATGATTGTTATTAGAAAATATTTATTCGGTAAAAATATATAAGTTAGTTGCATAACACAACGTTAAATTCCTGAAATTGCAACAAATTCATAACCGATTTGAACCCAATATAAGTCGCATTAAAAGTAGAAAATCGTCCCATAAATATTCGGTATACTTTATTTAATGACAATTTGAGCTAAAGGGCTTGGACTGTATCGCTTTTACCCCATTTCCCCGCCTTTCCCCTCGCAACTTTGCATATTAAGCCATGTGCAGAGGGCAAAAACCAGCACACACCAGTAAACAGAGAAAACTTTGTTGGCTGCTCGTTTGTTTCTGTTCGTTGTTGCACACCCAGCACACCCAACACACACAGCACCCCTTAACCCATGATAGCCGGAAAACCGCAGCAACTGCAACACCAGGGAAAGCAACAAGATCGCTCAGCAATTTTCCCTCGTGGCTCGCAAGTGTATTAATTTGCACCCAATGGCGAGGCACAACAGCATTTTTCGGGGCGGGAACGGGGGCGTGGGGTGCAAAACCCCGAAAACCCAAAACTAACGACCCTTTCAATGGGCGGAGGGGGCGTGGTCGAAGTGATTTGTGGCTGTATAAGGCAGATGGAGCCCAGGGATGACCAAACCGATGAGATGCAGATTGAAGTTCTTACGAAGAACGAAGCAGCTTTCTCGCCGGTTCATTTCTGGGCAACTAATTGGGCCAAAGTGCATTTGCGGCCTACAGTTTTCCAGCCCTGGCTTCACACAACATATGCAAATCACTCACTGAGACTCACACTCACCGAGAAATACACACTTTCATATACGCAAAGGCGGTGGGAAATGTATCCTGTGCATGAAAGTCAGCTTACGTGGCGCATGATTTATTAAAAAACGCTCGTAAAAATGCACAGCACACTCAACGAGCTCAAAATACAGAAAAAAAAAAAAACAAGGAGGCGGGAAAGGAAAACAAGAACACATCAAAGGCAGCAACAGCAACAGTATGATAGCAGCCAGCATTCTGCTTCTGTTGCTTTTGCTGCTGGAAAAATGCATGAAAAATAACTATGGAAATAAGCAGAGGCACCGGGAAAATCCCTAGCACTAACAACAGAGGCACTAAAAATAGATATGAAATTTTTAAAGCTTCGCCAGCAACACAGCAACTCTTAACCCATAGCCCGAGCAGCCTTTTTTCGCCCACGCCCCTTGGCACTAGCCACGCCCCCTCCTTCCCCGCATCCGCCCCCTGAGGCAAAACACTTAGTCGCGCATGATGGGAGTTGTGGACGGCTGGGATATATAGAATAGGAGGGTGTATATAGAGGGACGATCGGCTGGGAGCCAAATTTTCCAGACCATCCATCAACTGTCAGAGTCTGGTTCATTTTTAAGCAATTTTCGCAAACGATGCGAGGGGAAAAACCCATGCCCCCCAGATGGATGCATACAATTTATATGAGCAGAGGGCAAAACTATGCCATCTAAGCTAGCAAAAAAAATTTCATGAATAAGAGAGCTTAGGGAAAGGAGAATATAATGCTGCTTTAAGCTGGTTCTTAAAAGTCTAGTACCATTAACTAAGAATTTTTCAGGATTCTGAGAACTACTTGTATTTCCATTTTATCATAAGTCACAGTAAAGTTGTGGATTTTCTTTACTACGTTTATTAAAAAGCTCATGCTTTAGGGCATTTTTGAAAGCTCAGAGTTCTAAACGAATTCTAATTAAATTAAAATAAAATAAATTAAAATTTTAATTTAACTTTTCCTAACTTGATTCCCAATTGTGCCAAGTGCATAACATAGAATTTTGACAAAGATTCCGCAGCTCCGCTCAGCCACAGCGCCTGTCATTATCATGGGCAGCATTCTGCATCCTCGTCGTGGCGGTCAAACAATCGGAAAACGGTGGAGCGACAGGCATGTTTGGTTTTCATCGTCGGTTCCTGGCAGAGCAATTTCGTATTATTAATTAGCTGCCATTGCCACCAGAGGAGGAGCGGTCTGTGTCACTGGGTCCTCATGTCCGTAGCACATTTGTTCTGGTTAGCGGCGGTGGACTATGGACTCCGTCCGGTAGTGCCACCAGCAAATTGGCAGTTAACCCAATCCAAACTGGCCCAAACCAACCAAACGAACGAACCGAAGCGAACGAAGCGGGCTTCATTTGCATAGCGTCATTTTTAGGGGAATATGTCTTAAGCCCCATTTACACCAACTAATGGATGTGGGGCATTTTAAATGACGTCCACGAAATGATAAATGTTTGGGCATTAGGGCGAGGTTTGTGTTTTCGTTGCAGCACAAAAGTGGTTAGCGGTGAAAAGCTTTGCGATCTAATTTAAACTTTAAACCTATGTAACAACAGTTTAAAAAGTTACTAATTTCGCAAATATACTCTAACTCTGTTCTATTTTTTAGCAAGTAGATTTGCAAAAAGATTTATATTTAAATTCTGAGAACCACTTAGAACGTAAATTTCCTTACTATTGCGAAAATGAATGTAAATGGGTCAAAGTAAGTGAGCCATCTGCATTTTGTTAACTGGTAATAAGTGCA